GATATCATCATTTTATATTTAGGATCATTTGGGAGTTAATAATTATTAGATAGAAAAACAAAACAAAGATATGAATAAGGTTCAAAGGGTAACAAATTGCTTTCCTTCTGAAATGAAATTCTCTCCGTGAGTTATGATTAAGTAAAAATTAAAAAAACATATTTAATTCCAGATTGTTCAAATCTATATATAAATTTGGCTTGTCTGTCTGTCTGTCTGTCTGTCTGTTTGTTTGTATCCAATAAACGTCAAAACGGCTGAACCGATCGGGCCCAAATTTTTTGTGGGACATCTAGGGACCCCAGGGAAGGTTTATGAATGATTGAAATTTTAAAAATTTGTGTTTAAAAGTTTTTTATTTTTGTAAAATTTTGAAAATGCGCGAAAAAATATTATGAAATCCGCAAACTTTTTTTGTTTTTGTTTTATATTGTACAAAGAGAAGATGCTCACAGATAAAGCCAGAATTAAAAGTTTAAATAGAAGATGGGCGCGAAGAAATTTACTATTACTAGAAATTTACTAGAAATTTACTAGAATTTCTAGTAATCTTTATTTATATACTTTGCTTGTTTGGGTGTCCATTTGTATCCAATAAACGTCAAAACGGCAAAACTGATCTTGGACCAAAATTCAGTTGTAGACCTCACTGATCCCTGGTATTCTCAGAATTACAAAAGTTGTCTCCAAAACAAATTTATTTTTGTAAAACTTTGAAACTCCACGAAAATAAATTGTGAAAAAAAAATATTCGAAGGGAAAATGCTGAAAGATTGAGTAACTATTATTAGTTGCGCCTGATCTTATAGCTTAGTACTGTACATATATTAAAATGCATATCTGTATCTAATAGGCGTAATAACTGCAGCTATTTCTGTGTTATATAGATATAATTTCTTCCATTTTCAATGGATTTAAATGTATGGGTTCAGCCTCTATTGTTGTTTGTGAATTTTGCCCCAATATTGCAGGGGTTTGTGATTTGCAAACGGGTAATTCAGCAGAATAAACTATACTATTTGCACACATTTTTTTAAACTTATATTTTTCAGAAATTCTTTATTTGTTAATTAGGAATACGAAGGTTTAAATCTTGGGGAGCAAACAAGATGTATAAATATAAAACTGTTATCGAAATATTTATGATAAATAATTTTTAAAAATATTTATTGCATATCTTTTGTTGCATGAGGTGGAAAATGTTGTCAAATCAAGTCAACAAATCCAAAGTTAAAACTTCCAAAATTCGCCTTGTTTTCCATTTTTCATAATAAAAGTAAGCAATGACTATATTTTTATTAATTAAGAAAATATTTTTTATCTAAAACCAAAGGAAATCAGTTGTCGACAATGTCTCAATAATTGATGAATAATTTTTATTACTGCTTATTTTCAATTTTATTTATTTATCAGATTTTTTTTAATCATTTGTTCTTAGAATTCCGCATCTTAAAACTGACAATTTGGTCACCACCATCTGCACCTGGTTTTCCTGGTCTTCTATAATCAACATGTATTTTAATGCATCTTTCATCTTCTCCAGATCAAAATAATCTTTCCCAGGTTCTCCTCCCTACAACAAGAAAATACAATTTTCTGCATTTTCATGTTATTTTGTTCTTTAATTTATATACATTACTAGCATAGAAACTAATAATTTAGCACTATTTTGCTTTAACTGACTTAAAATGTTCAACCTTTGAAATATACAATGTTACCTTTATTGCTCCTAAGTCAGCAGGATCTAAAAAAATTAATCTCTTTCTACAGGGTGTCCCAAAAAAGAGGTTCTCGTAAAGTGATCTACTTTTCTTAAAACTTTACGAAGATATTACGTATAATGACAATTTTGATTTATTAAAAAAATTGAAGTTTGCACAAATTTTGCAATCTCCGTCAATTTTGAAGGAACACAAATGGTAGACCACAGTTTGAAAATATCCATCCCCTTTGATGTTTTTAAAGGGAGTGATCGGCTATGTAAGGTAGTTGAACTGAGTATGCAGTGTTGTGGAAAACTTCTTTCGGATTCATTTGAGACATATTAAACTTTTTCAAGATCTGTAAATCCTGAGTTTGAGCGCAAATTCGATGTTCAAAACTCCTACTTTGGGGGTGTATACGTTTTCAGAATTATTTTTTTTAAATTGTTAAATAACGACGTCATAAAATGTAAAAAAGTATTACAATAAACTACAGACTTCATGTTATAAGGGGGGTTATAGGGGTTATTTACCACCCCCCCTAGAATCCTGGGGGTAAATACCACCCCCTAGAATCCTGGNCCCCCCCTAGAATCTTGGAGGTAATTACCCCTGAACATATATTCAGGCCCTGAATAGCAGGGGTTACTCCACTTGCTGCCTCTACAAGTTACAGTTACCTTGACCCCTTCACTTCAAAAAAAAATACATTTCCTATTGATTAGTCTGCACTCAAGTGTAAAGACTTCCATTTTAATGATAGTAAAAGTTTTTGCGGTATTTTGCAGATGCCCAAACAGTTATAAGATTTGAAAACTGTTTAAAATTTAAATAAAAAATAGAAACGGAACTTATGTATATTGATAATTAGGTTGCTAACATGACTGCGGAACACCATGAAAACGGAAAGGCTATCTAGCCTTGCATTCATGCACTCCCATGAACATCCTAGTAGATTAAAATCAATCAAACATTTAAAAAAGGTTTATTTTAAAATTGAACACACATAATTTAAATATACGTCGGAATCAGATATTTCAAGTTTTAAGTCACCATATTCTAAATGATTCTAAATTCTAAAGTAATAGTCAATGTCATTAAAATTAGATGTTTTTTTAATAGAAAAAAAATGGTATGGACAATAAAAAAACATTTTTACTTCTAAATAATGTCATTTCCACATTAGATTTTGTTAAGATCTTAACATACTACATTGACGACAAGAAAATTTAACAATGAGTAATGACCATATTTTTTCAAAGTTTTGCAGAGTAGCTTTTCTAAAGATTTAAAAAAGTAACATCTTTTTCCTCTTAGAGTAAAACTATTATTTTTTATATTACTGCCTTTTTTGTCAATGTTTGCCAGCAAACTTAATATAAAAAGTTTAGTTAAAATAAAATAAATTCAGTTTTTTTACAGATCTTTGTAGTTAATGTAAAATGAATGACTGTAATGAAGGGTATAAAACAAGGTGAAAGCTGAAAGGTATGTAATGAAGCGTTTATAAGATTGAATTTGTAAATCCCAGAAATGAGTGGAAAATGCAAATCAAACCCAATTAAAACCAATAATTTGATATACATCATGATATTTTTCTAGGGGGGGGGATAAAAAAATTTCTAGGGGGGGGGGGTAAAAAAATTTGAGCTAGGGAAGATTTTCTGGCTTCTCTAACTAACATATGCCCCTCACTTAAGGCTAAAAGCTTGGCTTTTATACCTACTGCCTCAGTCTTCAGGCAAACTGCACTTATTTTACCTATACCAGACTTAATCTAAATTTAGACCTAATTCCAGTCATTGGATTTTAACAATTTGAAGCTCTTTGGAAAGCCTATAAAAAAGCAAGCAGATTACACAAGTTTTGCAAAGAAATTTTGCACAGACGCATTTAAAGGTAATCTGCACATTCTCAGTTTTTCTTGAGTACACATTTAGGTTTTAAAAATTTGGCAAATGTATTTGCACATTTGAATTTGCTGGGTCAAGGGCTTTTCAAAAAAAATTTGTAAATGTTTACTTAATAACTAGATTTCGCAATAAATATCTGGATTTTTGCAGATTTGCCATTTTTAGCAGTTTATTGAAGTAAAGCCCAAGGGTTTTCCAAAAAGGTATCACATATACACGAGATTTGTATCACAATAAGAAAATAGAAGGGGGGGGGGGGGTCAATTTGACCTTCCCCCCAGGCATCCAGTCAGTAAACCAGACATCAGGCTAAATAGGGTTAACAATTATACTTCACCACGGGTTCCCTTGACCAAATTTGTCAACAAAATATCCCTCGCTGCGCTCTGGATCATCCAGACTGGATGTTGCGTAAAATTGGTCTTTGGAACCCTTGGTAAAGTAAAATTCCTTTAAATTTCCTGTAAAAAAGTTGTAAATTATTACAAATAGTCAAATGAACATGAGAAACAACAATTGTGCAAGGGATGTAAACGGACACATTTCACTTAATGATTTGTTGTCAAACAATACTGGTAAAGCTTCTAACTTGATTACTACATTTAATACATATAGCTTTGCTTTGCATATAACGATCTATTAATAAATTAGATGTCGATACATTTATGATTAAAAAGAATTATAAATTCGCTTTTTTACAGTTTTTTATCACAGCTATAAACTTCAAGGTTAATTGAGCATAAATCACAAATCGCTGTGCCATGCATTAAGCATCAGAAATCAAAGACGATTTTTAACTTTCAATTCGTCTCTCAATTCCCATTTTTATTGCGACACCCTGTAGAAAAAGATAAATTGTTTACCACAAAAGTTAAGATTATAATGACGATCAAAAATATATAAATTTAGAAATTAGTGAGTTGAAGTTGGTATTTTATGTTCGGCTTAAGAAACAAGTTTCCAGGTGCAGTGAACCAAAACTGTGAAAAAAAGTCTGCATAAATTCTGTAGTTTTGTCTCTGAAGTCTCATCCATTGTAAGTAACCTTTGTCCGAATTTAATGAATTTAAGCTGCGTCTCAAATCCGCCAAAAACCGGTTTCAATTTAGCTTACATCTTGAAACATTGAATACAATTTTAAGTGGAACCATATTTAAGCTGCGTCGACTCAAATTTAAGTCGCGGCTCAAATTCTTTAAATTCGGCCTCTTGTAAAGTATGCAAATTCCTCCATTTAAAATCAAAGCTATAAAGGAATATTTTTTTCCTTTTTTAAAGCTTAAAAAGTTGTGACTACAAAAATAAATGGTGAGTTGATAAGGCAAAACCAATTTAAAGGCGGCGCAGTTTCATTAATTGATGAACAATTTTCACTACAGTCATGTGATCTATTTTATACATTTATTAATATTTATTATGTTTACATGTTATGTTTCAAATCATTTTGTTCGTGGACAGCTTACACATTGATAATCGGCACCCTTAGTAGGATCGTCTATGCTTTTTATCACTTGTAATCCAGCCAAATCCAAATCAGCTCGAGGTACACCCTAAAACAATTGATTTATTTTTCTACATTTTCACTTCTCAGCATTCTTAAAGGGACTTTACAGTCATTTTTAAATTGATTCTCCATTAAAAAAGGGGCACATCCGATTCACAACAATACCCTTGAAATTTGTTTACATTGATTTCCTGAAAGCCACTTTTGTAAGTAGAGAAACCACATGAATTAAAAATATGTCGCTCCATATATATATATATATATGTGTGTAGAAGGGATCAAATGAAATCACTTTTTAAACACTTTTCCCTCCAAAATTTCAGCTGTTGTAGCTAATTCTGGGCCAGTTTCAGGTTTTCCACAAAATAAGATACAATTTTTGCATTTAAATTTTTAACATTCTTTGATAATAGCACACAATATTAGCAAAGAAACTGGATAAATTTGCAGCATTATAATTTTATTAATCTTTAAATTTTAATTTATAAATATTACACAATCTTACCTTAATTGCTTCCAAGTTAGCAGGGTCTAGAAAAGAAAGTATTAAAAAAGATAAAAGCTGTTCCTTGATATCTTCGATATGAAGCCCTGCGCGAATATTTTTTTTATGATCCGAAAGTTACTTCAGAAAACATTCATTCCTGTTTAAAGATTTTTTTTATAATGTAGACGACATTTTCATGCTTTCTAGGAATGTTTGAAAATCCAGCTAGCACTAGTCGTGAAAACACGTTGTAAGCAATATTTATTTAAAAAAAAAAAATCAAAAATATTATGAAATCAGAAATATCAACTAGATACGAATGCTTCGAAAAAAATCAATGATTATTGTTTGTAATATCTAAATGATTTGTTTGGAATTAATTTTATTTGTTTCCGATCCGAGTCGTATGTTGCAACTTTCTGAATTTGTATGGACTCTACGTTCTTCGGTATGAGTCGTAAACAAGTTTCTCTTTATAGACGCAACAGATAGAAGTAAGATTAGTAGTGATAACCATAGAATATTTTTCGACCCCCTTTAATTTTTCGTGAACACTCCCTTTAATAAGTATTGCATTCTCAGTTCAACTATTTTACTGAACCGGTCTCTCCCTTTCAGTACGAATATTTACCTTCAATCGTGTCAATTAAGAACTTCTTTGATAGAATAGTTTGAAGGAGAGTAAAGAGAACCACAATGCTCTTGAAGTTCATGATGGTACTGAAGTATGTAAACTAAAAGTAAGAATAATATTCATTGAACAAGTTGGCGAGGCTGTCCTCGTTATAGCCTATGTTTAAAAACAAATTAAATACAAAAAGCAAATATTTAGGAAAACAGATTATACAATCTTACTATTTTGAACTAATTAAAATGAACATGCATTATACAGGGAATAGCATACCTAGTGCTATTTAATACTGCAGAATTAGAATATGAATATATGACTTTTATGATTTCTAATAGTACATAAACATGAAACACTTATTGTGTAGTGTACACAGATCAATTTCACTTAGTTGATTTCAAAGCTATATATTTCTATTTTGAGTTCAGAATCTAATCTTAATAATGATTTACGACTTGTAAATCCGCAACTTCTTGACAGAAAAATTCGCAATGAAATAGATTGCATGATTGCATCCTTATGGTTGCAAGAAGAAGACTAAACATTTTACAATTCAATGAAATCAGAACTCGTGGGTTCTTGATGACTGATAATAGGACTTGAAGAGCCATATTTGTTTATGATATTTCCACGTGTGCATGGGTTAATGCCCCGCGTGCGCTTTCAAACAAGAAAAATGCGTCAGAATATCAAAGGTAAAATCATGCCTCTTTAAGCACTTTATGATTTAACGCATCATTTCTGTATTAGTATTATACACCATAAAGAATTTAAGGGGAAGAGTGGGGGGTTGAGAAGTAAGGGTAAAGTTGTGTAAGGCGTAATTGGGTGGGGATGTAAATATATCTTTAGTTTTATATAGAAATAACTGATATGTAGAATTAATTCTCCTTTACCTACCTGCTGACTAGATTCCAAAGTTAGAATGACACATTAATAAAGGTGTCTGCATCTTAATTACACAGTTTTCAATTTCAGTTTTAAAGGCAAAGATAACAACATTATTTTTACTCAGAAAGAATGGTCAAAAGAATACTTTTATCAAACAGACATGTATCAATGATCATGTAATGATCCTTAACATATTGTACAAATCCCCTTTAGAAATTGTTTATTTGTATTAATCATATAAAACGCATTGAATTGTTTATAAATTAGAAGGATTGCTCTGAACAAACTCTAAGGTTTTCCACAAAAAAAACCTTTAACTTTTTTAACATTTTGAATTCAAATTCAAATTTTGTTTTAAAATAAGCCGTTAAATAGAAAAATATGTAATTTTCCAAATTAAGTCACAAATATTTAAGTCTCATGGTTGCAAGCTGATCTCACGCAAAAATCAATTTTGCCGATCTATTCCTTAAGCTAAAGCTAAAAAAAAGCAATCTGGATTAAATAATTTGAATTGTCGATTTTGACCTAAACATCTGTTCAAAAATGAATGACAGAAAACTATGTACACATGGTTAAGATTGATGCTCTGTCTTGAAAGAATGAATTCTAAAAAAGTCTGTGAAGTTAAGTTTCATCCTTTGCCCCCCTATAGAAACCCATGTCTCTCTCTTGGTGGATTTGCAGTTTGTAACATTTGACAGAAAACAGGATCTTTCCATTTCCCCAAAGAAAAAATATCGGATCTTTTCAAATCTAACTTTTTACATTTTTAGACAACATAGATAATAAGCTGAAACCAGTGATTTTTTACCTTCCACTAAGTTCCAACTAATCAACTTCCGGGTAATACATGAAATACAGGTTTTTTAAAAATATATTTTGGACAATAACAAAACATTTATAGAAAAGATTTTAAACACATTAAAAATGATGTGGCAAGCTTGTTTATTATTATAAACCACGTCAACACTCTCCATACCACTCAATTCAAAACACACTTCACCTGGCCCCATCATCCCTATAACCCGAGCTATATTC